GTGCCTATGCATGTTATATGAAAATTCCACTATATCAAATGGATGTTAAAAGTGCCTTCCTAAATGGAGAGATAAATGAAGAGGTATATGTAAGCCAACCCCCGGGGTTTGTAGATCATGAACATCCAGATCATGTGTATAAATTATCAAAAGCATTATATGGATTAAAACAAGCTCCTAGGGCATGGTTTGAAAAACTGTCCTCATTCCTAAAAGAAGAAAATTTTGTGCAAGGAAAGGTTGACAAAACTTTGTTCATCAAAAGAAAAGATAATGAAACTTTAGTAGTACAAATTTATGTTGACGATATCATATTTGGATCAACTAGTCCAGACATGTGTACAAATTTTGGTGAATTGATGAAATCTAAATTTGAGATGAGCATGATGGGTGAATTGTCTCACTTTCTAGGGTTACAAATTAAACAAACAAGTTCAGGAATGTTCATAAGTCAAATCAATTACATAAAAAACATGCTAAAGAAATTTAATATGGAATCTGTCAACTCTTGCCCAACCCCAATGAGCACAAGTCTAAAATTGGACAAAGACATGTCTGGAGTTCCAGTATGTGAAAAGAAGTATAGGGGTATGATAGGATCTCTCTTATACTTAACGGCAAGTAGACCAGATATACAATACAGTGTTGGGGTATGTGCTAGGTTTCAATCTAAACCAAAAGAAAGTCACTTAAAAGCAGTAAAAAGGATCTTTAGATATCTCAAAGGAACAATGGAAATTGGGTTATGGTATCCTTTCTCAGATCTGTTTGAACTAAACGGGTATAGTGACTCAGATTTCGGTGGAAGCTTAGTTGATAGGAAAAGCACCTCTGGAAGCGTTCAATTTTTAGGCCATGCACTTGTATCTTGGTTTAGCAAGAAACAAGGTGCAGTTGCACTATCCACAGCAGAAGCAGAGTATCTAGCTGCTGGAAGTTGTTGTGCACAAATCATGTGGATGAAAACTCAATTAGCAGACTATGGTTTCAAAATTCCAAAACATACCCATCTGGTGTGACAATACTAGCGCCATATGTATGACAAAAAATCCTGTACAACATTCCCGGACTAAACACATAGAAGTAAAATATCATTTTATAAGAGATCTTGTATCGGCTGGTCATATATGTTTGCAATTTATACCTACTGAATACCAACTGGCCGACCTATTCACAAAACCACTAGCTAGTGATAGGTTTACCCAATTGTGTGCTGAACTAGGCTTAAAATCTCTTAACCAGATCAAAGATCTAAAAAGCTAGCTTAACCATTGGGCCTGAAATTATCTAGGCTTGTTATGAGTCTTGATTCACTTAAACGAGATACCCCCTTCTGCTCATGCGTGTATTTTTTGCTTTAAATGCAATCATTAGTCTTGGTTTATGAAAAACAGACTCTTCGTATTCTCATTCTCCCGCTCCTCCTCTACACTTCGAAACACTATTTAAGGATCTTCTCTTACTCTCGCCTTCTCATCCTATCTTCCAGCAAAAAGCCTTAACCTACCCTCTGCAAAAACCAACCAAAACAAAGCTTAGCTACCAAAATGAGCGATCACTTACCTCGCCCGTTCAGATTTGATGGGTTGGTGCATACCTACCCAGGCTACATGTTCCATGAGCCTGTGGTAATAAACCACCATCGTCATCTTCAACATTTTGAGAATAGGAGACTTCACCACATCATCCAAATCGATCCTTGTGAGTTCAATTTCTATAAGTACGACATTATGTCTCTTATAGAAGCACTTGGATGGGACTATCTTCTTCGACAGCCTCTTCATCCAGCATGCCCTGGGGCAGTCAAGTATTTCTACTCAAACCTTAGATGCCAAGGAGTCAGCACCAGGAGTTTCTCAACTGTAGTCTACGGTCATTTATTGACCATTCCAGTAGGAGCCATTAATGGAATCCTTGGATTTCCTTCCCAAGGAATCGACATCGCTCATCCATCAGAGTTTTGGAAGCAAAACTTTATCCTTCCCACTGAATACTCAATCTTCTCCACTGAACCCACAGGAGGAACAGACGTACCGATTCCCATCAATTGGTTGACTCCTCGTTTGAGGATTTTCCATCACTTCATCACTCATGTCTTCTTTCCAAGAACTTTCAATCTTGACGTGGTTCTGCCTCTTGACCTATGAATCATCTCAAGTGCAACAGCTGGGCGCAAACTGGATTATGCCAGCTTAATGTTTGGAAATCTCCTTCCAGTTGGAGACGAGCATTATCAAGGCTTAATGCCCTTTGGGTCAATCATAACTCGAATGTTGATCAATCTTGGTGTAGATCTATCTGACCATCGTAGTGTATCTCACACCATGTATGTAGGAGCTCTAAATGTCCTAATGGTCTTAGATCTCCCTATTGACCCTGCCCCATCTCCACCACCACTTCCCTCTGCCTCATTCCTCAGTGCTCGCTCCAAATCGGCTAAAGGTGACAAAGGAAAAGAGATTGTTGGAGAGTCAAGCAAGACCGCTAATCTTATGTTCAC